GTCTCTAAGGTGCTGCAAGACTATTTGTTATTTTTTAAGTTTTTTATTTACAAGTGATTAAGAGAAGAAAAGGAGCTAAGGGCACACACGCAAAATTGTAAGCCAAGCATTCTAGCAACCATCATGGGCAGTAAGGAGGAACTGAGGGTGCAAGGGGCCAGCAGGGATATATATGTACTGATATAGCGGCATCACTCTAGGGGACTCCCTGGCTGGCTCAAGGATACTGCTAAGGGTTAAAAGCTTCCGGAACTTGTGCACACAGCACGCACCTAGATGGAATGGACATAAGCAAGCACTCGAAGAAGAATTTAATATTACACTAGCCCTTCCTAATACAATTATGGTTTATATAATCCAAGTGGTACTGTGGGCTTGTAAAACTCTTCCCTTCCTTCCTAGGCCATTTCCAAGTGCTCTCTAATTGAGACAGCTCATTCTACCCACTACTGGAGAGAGGCAATCAACTGAGCTTTGAGGACCACATTTTCAAAAGGCAGCCTCTATAACTGAACCCCAAAACTTTCACACTTGCTTTTGCACACATATTCCTCCACATTCAAGTTTTTGTATGTCATTTTCACAGCCAAGTCCATGCAAATTCAAAACCTTGAACTAACATGCATGTGCTAGGTTAGGAGTGTGTAATAAAATGGCACTGGTCCACCAGGGTTAGCCCTTGGAAAGATGCCTCTGCTATAATTACCTGCACCTTCATAGGTATGAGTGATTGTAGCTCCTATTGTCCACGGATTGCCATTCCCAGCCAATGGGAGCTGCAATCGTCCATACCTGTGGAGGCACAAGTAAATATAGCAGCAGTGATCCATCAGGGGCTAACCCTGGCGAACTCGATCCGGCCTGCAGGCCAATATTTGCTCACTCCTATGCTAGCTGGTCTGAAACCTAGCTACTTGGTTTACACATACAAAGCATGTATGACCATCTGAATCTGAGGTGAGTGTGCAAAAACAGGATGGTACACAACTGTGAGTGCAACAATGCAGGCATGCAAAATAGCAGGCTTACTTCAAGAGACAAGGTTGAGCCCCATTTAAACACTGAGCTCTCGACGGCCCTTCCTCAAGAAGTATCCATTTCACCTAAGTGTTAGAAATAGGGCAAGTCACAGAAAAAAGGAGACAAACCTGTGAGGTCACTGTCGCCACAACCCCTGGCCAATGCAGGATGGCCTCACACAGTGCATAGCTTTGGCACCACAGTATTGCCCCCTGAGCACAGCTCCAGTGCCCTCAAGCCCGATAGGTTTCTATCTGGGTGAGACCCTCCAACAGATCTGCTTGGGTTAATTGTTTCCTTAAGTAAAAGTGTCCTACTGCCACCACAATGAAGTGCAAGAGTCATGTTCTCAGCTAGATGGCAGGACTGCCCTCAGGCCTGGCCCACCTCCCCTTTCTCAGGGCACGTGGGACTAGAAGAGTGATGGGAATATCCTGGGGAGGGGTCTGAAATAAGCTGGTTGATGTCCCGTGGGACAGGACATAAGTAACTAGGTTGGGGAGAGCTCTGGCATTCTTGGCAATAGAGCAATACAGGCAGTCCCCGGGTTACATGGATCCGACTTACATCGGATCCCTACTTACAAACGGGGTGAGGCAACCCTGCACTAGCTGCTTCCCCCCAGCAGACCAGGGAGACGCGAAGCTAGCGCCCCTCCCCCCCCAGCAGACCAGGGAGACGCGGAGCGGCTTTTCTCAGCAGACACCTCAGCTTGAGAATAAAGGACTGAGGGAAGTGAGGTGTGGGAGAATAAAACTGAACTCTGGAGAAATGTTTGGCTAGAGTTTCCCCTACAATATGTACCAGTTCCCACTTACATACAAATTCAACTTAAGAACAAACCTACAATCCCTATCTTGTACGTAACCTGCGGACTGCCTGTAATTAACCCTCTTCCTGGGGGGTGAGGGAGCGAATGGAGGATCTGCACAATGCTGGAGCTTCTTGTGTCCACAAAGACAGCCACATTATAGATCTTTGCTTTGGGGAACACTGCCTGCCAAATTCTACCCAATCTCTGACACAGTAGGACCATATAGGCTCTGTAACCATTAGGAACTTCTAGTCCTGAAAGAGCCATAATTAAAGAGCTCATTAAAGGGATTCCATATGTAAGCAGGGTCTGAATCAATGCTTCCATTGCAGTCAGCTGGAATGGGAAAGAAATCCTGGGTGTGGTTATGTTCACTCAGTTTGCTTAGACCTGCTAGGTATTCAACAGTTGTTATGTAAATACAGTTCACACTGGAATGGGAAAAATCCAGGGTGTGGTTATGTAAATACACTTCACTCAGTTTGCTTAGGCCTGCTAGATACCAATTTGGCTGTTGTGGGGGGTCACAAACTGTGTTAACACTAAATGCAGGAATTGTAAGATAACTGCAAGCACTGCGATCATATAAGGAATGCAGAAAAGTCAGACTGTTTAAATCAGTTCAGAGGAGAGAAACTGTCCATTTAAAAAATCTCAGCTGGACAAGGCTTCCTCTGCCAGACTCTGTGAAGTCAACAGGGGGGAAGGGCAGAGCGCTAAACCAGTAGGCTGTGTCTAGACTGGCCAGTTTTTCCGGAAACTCAGCCGCTTTTCTGGAAAAACTTGCCAGCTGTCTACACTGGCCGCTTGAATTTCCGCAAAAGCACTGACTTCCTATTGTAAGAAATCAGTGCTTCTTGCGGAAATACTATTCTGCTCCCATTCAGGCAAAAGTCCCTTTTGCGCAAAGCTTTTGCGCAAAAGGGCCAGTGTAGACAGCTCAGATTTGTTTTCCGCAAAAAAAGCCCCGATCACGAAAATGGCTTTTTTGCAGAAAAGCGCGTCTAGATTGGCACGGACGCTTTTCCGCAAAAAGTGCTTTTTTGTGGAAAAGCGTCTGTGCCAATCTAGACGCTCTTTTCCGAAAATGCTTTTAATGGAAAAGTTTTCCGTTAAAAGCATTTCCGGAAAATCATGCCAGTCTAGACGCAGCCGTAGAGTGCATGCCCTCCAGGCGTGAACTGTAAGACTGATTTAACCTGTTTCTCCTCTCCTTCCTCCCACCCCGTTCTAATGATAGAACTACAACAGACTCCATAAGGAGTCTCTTTATTATTTTAACATTTTATTCCAGCAGATGTTGGAATCTTTTGATTGGACTATGCTGTGGGCCAAGAGCTGAAATCACTGGGAAGCAGAAATCACAGAGCTGAAATCACTAGGTTTGGCCCAGAATGAAATCTAGCACAAGGCCAGTATCGGCGAGGGGGCGGCTGGAGGGGCAGCGGGTGGGAGTGGCTGGCTGGCGGGGTGGCCAGAGGTGGGAGCAGCACATAGGTGGCATTGCCACATGCTCAACGAGGGGAAAACTATGAACTCTGGGTCTGCACTGATTGGACAGCCGTGAGCGGGGTGTTTGAAATGAGGGAAAAGCATACTATATGGCTACGTCTAGACTGGCATGATTTTCTGGAAATGCTTTTAATGGAAAAGTTTTCCGTTAAAAGCATTTTCGGAAAAGCGCGTCTAGATTGGCAGGATGCTTTTCCGCAAAAGCACTTTTTGCGGAAAAGCGTCCATGACCAATCTAGACGCGCTTTTCCGCAAAAAAACCCCAATCGCAAAAACAAATCTCTGCTGTCTACACTGGCCCTTTTGCGCAAAAGTTTTTCGGAAAAAGACTTTTGCCCGAATGGGAGCAGCATAGTATTTCCGCAAAAAGCACTGATTTCTTACAGTAGGAAGTCAGTGCTTTTGCGGAAATTCAGGCGGTCAGTGTAGACAGCTGGCAAGTTTTTCCAGAAAAGCGGCTGATTTTCTGGAAAAACTGGCCAGTCTAGACACAGCCCATGAGTTGGGGGTTGGACTAAAGATCTTTAAGCAAAAGTCTCAGCCCTGTGGACTCTGGGGGTTTTCATTTTTAATGTGTGTTCCTGTAGGTTGATACTAGATTACTGTTATTAAACAGACTGTTTCTATCTCCAATTCAGTGTTTGCGAGAGGGGAAGAATTGCCTCTAAAGGCTCCCAGTGGGTAAGTTGGAATTTTTCCAGTTTACTGGGTGGGGGCTCGAGCTAGTTTGGTTACGTTGTTGAGAGAACCCGGCCCTTATGGCTGCTGACTGCTACCGACAAAAGGGTTACACGTATTAATTCTTGGGTAAGTTCCCCTGTAACTTGGCCCAGTTTCCTTCCTGACTCCCACACATGCCTGCGGGGGCTGCAGCAAATTCCCCTCACCCTTATGGACACAAAACAAACAAAAGCAGCAGCATCAAGGGAATCATGGTTCCATGGCACGGTATCAACCCAGCTTCGCTTTTTTGCTGAGCAGCTGCTCAAAACAAGCTTTGACAAGAGAACCTTTTCCCAAAGCCATAACTGAGTTTGGTGGGGCTAAGCATAGGGCAGTCAGAGAGCCTGAATCATGGTCACAGGAGCTTAACAGCTTCCAGGGGACAACATCCCCTCCTGTCATTAGACCAGTTATTAAGAACCATGCTGCGTGTAAGCCTGATGTCTTGCCTTGCCCCTGCAGGTGCCACCACACGCAATTGGCTTGGGGAACCCACCATTCATGAGAAAGCGGGGAGGAATCCCTGGTTTGCAGCAGGGCTGGAAGATGGGGTGTTCCTGAATTTAACATGCAGTTGTGGGGTCTGAGTGCTATAACTGGGGGAAAAAGGTTGAAAGTTTAGTTAAATGGGGGCGGGGAGAGGCTGGATGGCTCCCTCACCAAAGCCTCATCAGAGCCATGGTTTCTCTATGATCTCCAGGGCCATACATTCCCCACCTGTTCTCCTGCCAACAGCTCAGTTCTGTGATCCAAAGCGACCCACATACAATCATACAGCCATGTGATGCCAACAGCCTCGACCGCGGCCCTGGCTCCAGAGTCTGCTGCACTGGCCTCACCCATTATAGCAATGCCCGGACAGAGCCTGACTGTTATAAGGAGAGCTGAAGAGCCATGTTCTGTCCCCCCACCCCCCACTCCGGAGCTGAAGAGCCATGTTCTGTCCCCCCCCCCACTCCACTCATCAATGCCTCTAAGCACCCCTTGAGCCACATACGCCGCTGCACCCGTCCCACTCCAGCAGCTTTAGATCCTGCAGACTGCGCTCCACCAGCACCTGAGAGGCCTCCCCCTGGCTTCCCTGTGCTATGCCAGGGCCCTTCTGCTGATGTAAGCCATGAACAAGACAGCTCCAGCTGAATGGAGTGATTGTAGGGGCGAAGGGATGGGGGTTTTCCTCAGTGCAGCATGCCACAGCCATGTCTCCATCTAGACAGCAGCTTGTTTTCTCAAAAGCTGTCGATTGCTCTGGGCAGGAGATGCTGGGGGGATCTCCCCACTCCTTTAATGACAAGGGCCACATCCCAACCAGCTATTTCTGTGTTTGCAGCAGTCGCCTGTCAGACCCTGCCTGGACAACTGTTACTGTTCCCGGGCCCTCTTTGTGATTAGAGCCACCGTGCAGCACGTTGGCCCCTCGTCCTCCATGCCCCGGAGGAGAAACAGACCAGAAATGTTTGTTTCCCAGGCCTGCACCTAGCAGGCGCCTGACTCTGAGGAAGCCTTCCACCAGGACGCGGATTCCTTTTACTGATGGGGGCCTAGAATGGGGCCTGCTTCCCTCCCCTCCCCTGGCTGTCCTCCTCTCCTTGGCCAGGCCTTTGTCTTCATAGACATGCGAGGCTGGCGGCAGTGGCCATTTGCGGCCGTCTCTTTAGGAAGGCACCACTGTCCCCTCCCCCCACTCCCCGGGTTGCCTGTGAAGCTATTCTTCAGCTTCTGCATTTTCACAGCCGCTCAAAGGCAGATGCATCAATCCTTTCAGGGCCTGGCGACGTGAGGGGAATGTCAACGTGGCCTGGGCAGGTGCTGATAGGTTTCCAGCCATCTCCCAGGCCTCTTTGTTTCTCCTGCACCCCACCCCCGCTCCCTTTTGGCAGGTACTGGACCAAGGGAGAGGGCAGTAGATGGGGGACGTGGGGGCAGGGAGGAGGGGCAGCATGGCATACTAACCCTGAAGAGCACCCCTGCAGCAGTGCAAGTCAGATTCCACATGCTGAGGGAGGGGGGCTGCTTTCATCGGCATTGCACCAGGGATGAATTTGCCCCATCTCCTCCCATCTCTAGCACGTCCCCTGGCAAAGTAAGCAGGGAGGTGGAATTTGCTTTCAAAACCATCCCCTCTTTGGAGGGGAGGAGGGTGATGCGTGGGTTTGGTGCCTGTCTCGCATGCCGAAGTGCAGTCAAAGGATCCTTAGAATGGTGCTTCAGGTCCCGCCCCAGCTCTGCTCTCTGTATGGCTTCACAGGCAACTGCTCTAGTCCCCAGGACTATTTCCAGAGTCTGACCAAGGGCTGTCTCTGGGCAGCGGTTACGGTCCTGACGTCTGCGTTCTGTGGGAGTGTGGCTGTTCCGCATGTGTGGTTTACCCGTAGGTGCCGCGATCCTTTACTGTATGTTCCAAAAGCCTTGAGTCGATACGTTTAAGAATCGGCAAATTAGAAAAATTGTCCTGCAATGTTGAAAGGAGGAAAAGAGTGGAAAGGTGGGTGGGTAGAATCTTAAGTTCCTCCGGGGCACTGCCCTGGCTCAGAGCCTAAACCCCATGGGGGGGCGGAGGGACGGAGTTACACATTCAGTGCATATCTTACAAACGGGGCAGGGCCTCCTCCCAGAGCTTTTCCCTGGGACTGCGTCTCTGCGCTTGCAGGAGTCTTGAGCTCAGCCCAACCGGACAACGCACAGTGGGGTCACATTTCACTGCTCCACAGCTTGGGGGAAGGATTCCTCCTCTTTTTTTTTTTTTAAGTACTTTAAGTTTCTTCTCTTCCTTTTTTTTTTTTTTTTTTTTAAGTCTTAGAGTTTCTGTAACAGCAGCTTCTTTCTGTATTGGTGTAGAAGGTATATATATCTATATCTATATATCTATAAATATATATAAGCCAAACTGCCTTACAGATTGTTTTGTTTTTCAGTGTTGTATGTGTAGCAGGCACTTGAGTTTATATGAAGATGTTTGCTTGGGAGCTGAAGGGCCTGGGGAGAAGAGGAGGTAGGGAGGACAGAGGAAGGAAGGAGCAGGAATTTTTGACAAGTGGCCACTGCTAGCCAAGGATGTCCAGGTAGATTGGTGTGGCCTTGCCCAGAGCATGAAGAATCTTGTAGATTTCCTTGATGTTGAGCCGCTGCTGAGGTTCCCTCTGCCAGCAGCCCAACATGATGTCATAAACCTCCTTGGGACAGACACGGGGCCTCTCCAGGACTCGGCCTTGGGTTATGCACTCGATGACCTGAAACAGAACAGAGAAGGTGAATCCCACACCGCACAGTGCTGAGAACATACCTCTGCTGAGCTTGGGATGATAACCATGTCATTAGATCAGTAACGAGCCAGCAAGCCCCCTGATTTGAGGTGTGCAGGATCCCAGCTGGTGACAGGTAGCAACAGATTCTCTGCACCTGCCTCCTGTTTTGCAGCTGCAGTTTTACAACCACAGTGAAGTATACTTTTGATTTTGCAGCCACTGTTAACTCCAGACACAACTCTTTCCTGTTTGACACCTCATTACCAGACTGCCCCTATGGACCAAAAAAGTTGGTCAAAGGAGCCCAGCGGTACTTTATACAGTGGAGAAGATGATGAACCTGCAGTGTTATGTCAGTTTTTCCTGACGGTCTGAGCCTTTTTTTTTTTAATCTAAAAATGAAAGTTTTTTCCACGGTGAAACCCAGGAAAATTCTACAGAGGGATTTCAGAGCATCATTTCCCACTTGCCTCTCCCAGAGCAAATTTGTCTAATTTTTTATGTTTGAATGCAGCAAACAGAACACTGTTTCATCTTGGATCAAATCCACAATGGAAGAAAATCTTGCAAATGTTCACACCTCACTCTAGGTCAGGTTGCTGCTGCTTATGAGAAAAATGTGTGTGGCTCGTGCAGCATGAAATGGTGTCTTTAGAGAGACTCCAGGGGAACCCAATTCCCCAAGCACCTGCTCTTTGAATCCTGCTTGCCATGGAAAAGGATGGAAAAGGGAAAAACAAAGTGACTTGTCAGAGAGCTGTTATCACTGACTAGCCCCCTGTCTGGAAGTGATGAGTCCCGGCACTGCGGTGTCTGCGTGTCATGACCTGGCATAATGGACATACTGTGGATAAATGCAGATATCAAACAGTGTGGTGAGGCAGGCAGACCAGTGAGGGGGACCTGGCATTTATCGCTTGTGATTAGTAATGGGGCCCGCTACACATCCAAACAGAGAATCATTGGTCTGCACAGAAATAGCGAGAGCAGAAGCAAATTTGGAGAAGCAGCTGATAATGGCAGAGTCCATTTTGGGGGCCTTAGGTGAGCCGGCAGACAGACATGAACGAGGACCCCTAGGGTATGTCTAGATTACATGGCCGTCGATGATCAGCAGATCAGCACAGCGGGGCAGTCTAGACACGTCGCAGTATTCTAGACGAGACCTTCACTGAGGGGGAAGATGGAATAGGGCACAGGACTAGTGACAGACCACCTGAAAACCCAAGTGAGCCCTACTGGCTAAAGGTAAACTTTGCTTCCTCTCTACAGATAGGGCTCTCACCATGGGTCTTTCAAATACAGGAAGCCTGTTAGGGTATGTCTAGACTACATGGCTCCGTCGACGGAGCCATGTAGTCTAGACATACCCTAACAGGCTTCCTGTATTTGAAAGACCCATGGTGAGAGCCCTATCTGTAGAGAGGAAGCAAAGTTTACCTTTAGCCAGTAGGGCTCACTTGGGTTTTCAGGTGGTCTGTCACTAGTCCTGTGCCCTATTCCATCTTCCCCCTCAGTGAAGGTCTCGTCTAGAATTTAGCATTATGTTTTAAAAGGTTCACTTTACATTTAAAAGGACAACAGCCAGACAAAATCTAAACTCATATCCAATGTTCCCTCTAATGTTTTCCATCTATGAGCAGAATGAATTTTGTTATGTGCACTGAGGCACATATGGATCTGCAACACCAATTGAAACATGTGTGGCCGATTGTGGCTGCTCTGCTAATCAGCTGTGCGGCATTTGAATCATTCCTGGGTGGCTGCCCAAGTACTCAGCTTACAGGAAACACTGCTCATGTCCCCTGTAGATGTCTCAGAGTGGAGGGTGTCTATCCCAGACTTGCTCATACTCATTTAAGTGACACTATAAGGTCTAGTGGAATCAATTCTCCAGTGGCCATTGGATTTTGCATGAGTCTTCCCTGCTTGCTCCTAACCAGCATGCTCACAGCAAACATGTCACGGCAGGCAAAGCCCTAACACCGAGCAAGATGAACATGTATGCAATATCGTTCACAGGTTGCCTGTGCATTCTCTCCTTTGAGGAGAAAAGGGAAAGGGACAGAGGAAAGGCGGGGCCCAATTGTATCAGCTCTGTATGTTCAAAGCACTATTTCAGGTTAGTAGATGGGTTAGTTTGACTATCCCCATTTCACAGATGGAGAAACCGAGATCAGTGTAATAATTTACTTGCAATGGGCTACTGCTTAAAGCCAGCATAGGGAGGGGTTAGCCTCCCATATACCTTACTTTACTTGTGGTTGATTCAAACCCAGGAGGAAGGGACAGGTTTGGGAAAGGAGTAATTAGGGTTTAGGGGTTCTTCTCAAAGTAAGCACCTCTGTCACGCTGAATTTCCCAGACAAAAACCATAGCTTCACTAGACTTTTCTCTGCAAGACCATGATGCTGTGAACAGCAATGCCATGTGAGGTGGGGGAGGGGTAGGACTTCCTACTGACAATATGAATGGTGTGCTGGGCCCGGGTTTTCCAAGGTGAATGAGGGAGGTGAAATAACCCACTTGCAGATTTCAGTTCCTGAAATATCCTGCAACACACACGTAGCATGACTATGCCCCTTACTGCCATATCTCCCCTCTCCAGCCCAAGACAATATGGTTTAGAGGGTACCTCTGTGTTTGAGAGCTGGAACCAGGGCTGCTTCCCATATGTGAAGATCTCCCAGAGGATCACCCCAAAACTCCATACGTCACTCTCTGTTGTGAACTTCCGGTACATGATGCTCTCCGGGGGCATCCAGCGGATGGGCAGCATGGTGTGTCCTCCAACCTACATGGTGACAAAGTCACAGGCAAATCTGCGTTATCAGAGCTGTAGGAGTGGGGAAAAGCTGTACCTAGTGCAAGCTACCAGGACTTGTGGATGCTCAGACAGGTAGGCTAACTAACTCCTCCCTCTAACCCCCCCACCCGACTCACCCATCATTGTAAACTGGCTAATATCATAATATGACAGATTGGAAGTGAAATCTACTGAGATAAATGCTCAGCTCCAAAGATCTCCTCTTCCCAAAACTGACTTGTAAAGAAGCTTCAGGGGGTACCCGAGTTAATCTGTACAGGATAAACTTAAAAAACAACAAATGGTCTGGTAGCACTTTATAGGCTACCAAAACATGTAGATGGTATCATGAGCTTTCGTGGGTACAGCCCACTTCAGATGACCGGAGTTCGGATGACTCTAGTCATCTGAAGAAGTGGGCTGTGCCCATGAAAGCTCATGATACCATCTACATGTTTTGGTAGCCTATAAAGTGCTACCAGACCATTTGTTGTTTTTTAAGTTTATCCTGACTTGTAAAGTAATACAGCAAAATGCCTAGAATGTATTTTGTTGATGAAACAACAAAAGGCAGAAATCCACAGTCTAAGCCAAAGCATTATCCTTAGCCTTCCTGGGCCTAGATATTGCAGAATGAATGGGCTATTCAGTTTTATACCTGAAATCCACAGAAATATGCATGGCAGAAGTATATCGATATTCATGGTAGTTTTCCTGCTGTCTAGGATAGCCTCAAACCAGTTTGGGGTCCTATTAAATAATTGTACAAAGGGGTGTGCATCTGGAAACCTGCACCAGGAATCCAGTCACGGACAAGCAAGCAACAGCAGCTGCAAAAGCACAGTTGGGACTTTACTTTGTTAGTAGGTTCTCATGCTGGCTACATCACCATGGAATCTAGGGGGGTAAAGTCTTTCTCTTTTGAATCTCTGAAATCTGCGGAGTCCTTGAAATGACAGCCTAAGACAAATCCTCTGAGGGGAAGCCATTTCTGGGACAGTTCCACCATCTCCAGCACATTTCAGTCAAATACAAGACAAGCGGTAACAGCAGGAAAGCAGAAGGAACCACCTTGTCTTTGCTAAAGATTGTTGTACAATTAAGTCTCTGAGCAGGACCAGTTTCTGTTTTGTCCTTCAGTACGGGAATCACCATCAGCAGGGGACTAACTGACAGAAGCTTTGAGTAGCAGGTATTGAGAGCAACATGGTTCCATGTCTCTGGCATTCATTTTTTCTGAGGACAGAGCATCTAAGAATTCCATTCTTCTGCGGATGCTGAGAGAATCCCTTTGTGCATGCATGCATGCACACACCCAGTTGGGAAGCTCTTCACGACTTTTCCAGACACCCCCTCGTCCCTGCACTAAAGTGCAACTATGAGGCAGTTGGAACAAAGTGATTGAATTCTGTCTCTGGAGATGGGCAAAGACAGCTGCTTCTTGGGACGTGCTGGAACGCCTTATCTTGCATTTCAGCAACAGGGGGCTGCCTGTGTGTATCATGTTACTGCCGGTGTTCATAGAAAGAGCTGGTGTACATTTTTGTAAATGAACAAATGACACGAAGAACATACTCTACAGCTGTATCATTGGTTTCCCATCCAAACAGAAACCTTCCTGCCAGGCCACTGGTTTCAGCCACTGCTTGGTCAAGCAGGCAACAGTATTCAGAAAGTAAACGCTTTGCAAGTTCCTGCTTTCCTCAGGAATTCTCAAACTTTCTCTCCACCCTAGCCTACTTCCCTAGATTGCTGCTAGTGCTAATATGATGTCAACAGAGACCAGCAACAACACTCACAAGCTACAGACACCATGCCACAGAGGTGTTCCAAGCAAGTTATGAGATGGGTAGCATGCATAGCAGAGAGAGCCCTGAATCAGGAAGGGCTGATCCAAACTTCCTCAGTGATTAACGAGGTGCAGATCCAGGCCCACAGAGTTCTGTCAACTTGCCTCCCCTGTAATTCTTAGTACAGCCTAATTTTAGAACATGATTTTGTAAAGTCTCAAAACAAGCTTTCATTTCTGTGTGCACAGATACTCAAAATTGCAATTTGTGAGGATGAAAAGCTTAGTGCCCCTTCACACCTCCCAATTGGAGATCCATCTTTGGCTGAAATGCTCTCAGTTTGCTGCCTTGAATCCCCAGAAATGCTATTTCTATTGCAACTGGAAAGACTCCTTCCTTTATTCTTTGTAAAAACTTAACTGCAATCTTAGCTCTTTCCTGCACTTCCTTTTATGACTTGTTTTCCCTTATTTTGAAGAACTCCAGGGAAATTTGTTGTCTATACAATGTGATCTATATCCATGTTGATTAATGAACAATTGCTTTATGCTAATGTTTGGCTCCCCCCACACCTTTAGTAGCACTGATTCAGTTTTCCAGCAGTTCTGAAATCACTGCAGATCTCTGTAGATCTGCTGCAACTTGGGGCTCATTGGAGATACAAGTAATGAAATATCTATTGCGTACATTTAACTCCCTTCTGAACTAGAGATGCACCAGTCAGAGAGTTTGTGTGCCAGATGCTCAGCTTGTATCAACTGGTGTAGCTTCACTGGTTTCAAGGCAACTACAACCATTTTTACCAGCTGAGAATCTGGCCCTGAATGTAGAGAAAAGAACCAATGGTCCATCTCATGTCTAATGAGCCAAATCATGAGCCAAGTTATTGGCCTTCTCTGGACACACATTGGGGAAAAATTACCCATAAAGTAAAATACAAGGTCAGCTGTTATCCCAAGGACATAAAGACAGAATTTTGGTTTAGCGCATCTATTCACAGACATGCAGAGCAAAGGGCTCATCTCATCCCTACATCATGTGCAACATATTTGTTATTGAAAAAATAGCAACGATTCATTATGGAGATGGATGTGGGCAGAATCAAAAGCCTCTGGAACCCAAAATATGTCCAACCTAGAGTCTGTATGTAAGAGTTTTTTGGGAGTTCTGTATTTCAGCATGGTAGCAGTTTTCAGCAGCTTTACAGCACAGCAATTAACTACTTACCAGCAGTGTACAAGGTTGGTCCAGGTTATAAATTATAATCCCCATGTCACAGATGGGGAAACTGAAGGGCTTTTCCTGAGGTTTTATAGTCCTGGCAGAGCTGAGTATTAAATACAGGAGTTCCTGGATCTCAGTCCTGTGCTCAGTCTGCTATGCCCTGCTGCTTGCTAAAGTTGCAAACATGATTTAGATTTGAGGGCAGATAGATTAGACTGCTTAGGCTACCGTACATAAGATGTGGCTAGATAACAGAAGATCCTTCTCACATTATGTGCAGGCTAAAGCAGACATTGCACACTGGAGGTTCTTCCTCCCCACTCCCCCCATGTTCACACTGTATAATCACACAAGCATGACTCCTAACCCTGTACACAGTACACAGGACCACCTGGAGTAGAATGCATTGGCAAAAGCACTGGAGAGAAATGAGGCTATTAAACAAATCTGTCTACAAAACGGACTTTATTTTTCCTTCACAGAGCCAATTTACATTTCATGTCCTTGGCTCTGGTGAGAACCATTACGTATCTTTATAGGGAAGATGAAAGTTTGCTTCAATCAATCCACAGTTTGCTGAGACAGAGCCCGGGGTGGCAGTTTCTTGCAATAACAGTGATCATGCCGGCTGACTCCTTGTCAAGTCAGCGTGGCTTCAGAATAATTTCTGAACGATTCCTGTCACTCTCTTCTCTACCCTCCATCATGCCCACCCAGAAGCCGATATAGCAGAGCTAGAAAACAGCTATTCTGAAATCCACATCTGTCTCCTTGGGGCAATCCAGGATTGTCCAGTGCAGACTTCAAAATCCCACATGATACAACTCCCACAACTCTCCTTGAGAGCCATTCCACAACCTGGTTACACGTTTCACTCTCAAGAAGTGTATCCTGACATTCAGCCTTCTCTCTTGCTCCTGAAAGAACCTCCTCCCCCCCCCCTTCTCCTTGCTATTTAGACTCCCTGGATTATTCTCACTAATTTTTTTGTGTAACTACAAAATACCTAAGAGCTAGCTCTAACTTTTTCTCTCTACATCGACCTCTCCAGCTTCCATATCCTTTCTACTGCTCTGCTCCTTCCAAAACTGTCCTGGCAATACATGCCCACAAATGAATGTAGCCTCAGAGCTGCGGAGAGCTGTCTTTTCATAACAAAGCCATCTTAGAATCAGGATAAACCACTCTCAAGGTCATGCACTGTTCTATAATCGCACATCTCCAATGGCCCAAGGCACCTGGCCTTTGCTTTGGGGCCTCATTACACATCCGAGGCAGCAGATTGCAAGATAACAGGACACTCCCTGAGAGTGGCTTATTGCTGTATTAGAGCTGAACCTCGGGGAAATGGGGGAGGTTCATGAAAGGCCAGGATTAATGGCCATTAGGGAGAGGGATAATTAGTTAATGCTAGTACAGCACTTTGAAGATGTAAAGCTATATAAGTGCTATGTATGATTATTATTATAAGGCTCCAGGTTTGATTGCCAGGAAGGAAGCCTGGTGTCTGGGGAAAGAAGTCTCCTTGTCCCAGCTTTCTGAATGACATATAGCTGATTAGAAAGGACTGAAAAGACACACCATGCCTAGTGAGTGTGGCCACACCGCAGTGGATCACAGAGAAGCTTGCCAACATAGTGCAGGGTTTCAGACAATAGGGAACTTGAACAACTACTCTCAAAAGGTACATCTACACTGCAACACTATTTTGAAATAACTAGCGCTATTCTAAAATAACTTAGTCTGCATCTACAAAGCAGGCAGTTATTTCGAAATAGTGTCAAAATACTGTCAAGCTGGAGGACTTCTTACTCTGACTCCTGTAACCCTTAGGCTGCATCTAAACTGGCATGATTTTGCACAAAAGAGCTTGCTTTTGCGCAATAGCTCAATTTGCGTAGCTTATTTCGAGTTAAGCCCTGCAGTGTAGATGCACCCTTAGACGTAGCCAAAACTAAAGACAGGCCTGGGTCA